ACATTCTCCTTTAAGATGAAGTCTGACTTCTCTAGCTCCCCCAACCATAGGGAAAAGTGAAAAAATTATAACTGTGTTTAACTCCCAATCTACAACCCCAGCTTAATGTAAAAGAAATTCCAAAATAAGAAATAAAGTGAATTCTTTCCAAAGACTCTCTGACAATCCACAGATGTAGGTCTGGCATGATGCCCAGAAACTTAGATGGGTACAATTTGGTCACATCAGGTTAATTTCTTTTAACGTCTCTAAATACATCCTCTCTGGTTGCTTTCAGCCTACAGTACTGCATCAACTCAATTCAGGGATTTTTTTTTTCAAAGTAATTGATTTGACATGTTTATTATGATGGCCAAGCATGTGACTGATTGACTAAATGTTTCATTTTTCACTCCATGTTTGGCACATACCCCCGGACACTGTAATTATTCTACCCTTTTTGTCTCTCCTCATTACACGTGAAATGCAGAGAGAGGCCACCCTTTCTGATAGAAAACTGATATTCTCTTTCAGCCCTTTCATGGAGTGTGCTGCTTTGCACACAGGGCCTGAGTGTGCAAATACGTGAGTTAGCCCTGATTTGTAAACTGGCTGTCATCTATGTTTCCATAGTTGTCACAGCCCCACTGATCTCAATTTCTGTACCTTGAAAACGGGAAGGACAAATCTTATCCTTTTCCAACATAAAGCATTACTGTTGTTGTTTTAGTTGCTAAGTCATGTCAGACTCATTTGCGACCCCATGGACTGTAGCCTGTCAGGCTTCTCTGTCCGTGGGATTTCCCAGGAAAGAATACTAGAGTGGGTTGCCATTTCCTTCTCCAGATCTTTCCAACTGAAGGATCAAACCCATGTCTCCTGCTTTGCAGGTGGATTCTTTAGCACTGAGCCACCCTATTGGACAGCACAGATAGAGTATCTCCATCAGTAGAGAAAGTTCTGCTGGACTGGGCTGTCTGACACTGACAAATCTTCCCTCTCACAGCTTCTCTAACTGGCCTTAAGTCAGTCTTTACAGTAACATCAGGTGAATCCATCTCACACAAGTGAATAGCAGTCCAAAGTAACAGTGCATATGTAACAAATGATCTTATCACACTTTTCTTCACCCACACCCACCCAGCACTAGAAGCTAAAACAAGCCAAAGTGCATGCTGTAGAGAGATTTATCAATCAATAATGAATACCTAATTTTAAAAAGAATTATATCATGGGACAGAGTCTAGAAATATTCTATTTTCTTTAATATGTGAGTCCCTGTAGATCCATGGTCTGGATATCCAGGATTTGACTGTCCTCCCCCATCCTCTCATCCCCTGATTCCTCTGTGAATTAAAGATTGGTTTTCTTATCTGCCCAGTTTCTCCTTGTTTATGGTTTCACATCTATTTGATAAAGAATGCAATGTTAGCAGATATTTAAGTGTTTTGCATGTTATATATGCAAGAAAGGTAAGCATCAAATATAAACACAAGCTGATTGACTTAAGATGCGTTGTTTTCATGCCTTATTTTATTGCCAATCTCATATATCTCACATCTAACATGGAATAGGCCTCTCACAGTCATAAAAGGCCTACAAACCAAGCTATTGAAAGACTAATATTTAAGCACAGCATTCATAAAATAGCTAATGGTATTATAGAGTTGACAGATACCATAGAGCTGTCAGAGAAATGGATGTTGAACCATCTCCTTTCAAAAATAAGAAAACAAATCAAGAGAGGGAACCTTCCTATACTGTTGGTGGGAATGTAAACTGGGACAGCCACTGTGGAGAACAGTATGGAGGTTCCCTAAAAAACTAAAAGTAGAGCTACTATAATATTTTGCAATCCCACTTCTGGGTGTATATCCAGAGGAAAAAAATGGCCCCAAAAGATAAATGCACTTCACCGCTCATTGTGGCACACTTTACAATGGCCAAGATATGGAAGCAACCTAAATGCCCATTGATAAAGGAATGGACAAAGAAGATGTGGTATATATATACAGTGAAATAGTACTCAATCATTAAAAAGAATGAGATAATGCCATTTGCAGCAAGATGGATGGATCTAGAGATTGTCATACTGAGTGAAGCAAGTCAGACAGAAAAAGAGAAATATTGCATCATTATCTCTTACATGTAGAATCTAAAAAAATGATACAAATGAATTTATTTACAAAGTAGAAACAGACTCTCAGACTTATAGAATGAATTTATGGTTGCCAATGGGGAAGGGTGGAGGAAGGGGTAGGTAGGGAGTTTGGGATGGACATGTATTCATTGTTAATATTTAAAATAGATAACCAACAAGGCCTACTGTGTAGCACAGGGAACTCTGCTCAGTATTATGTAACAATCTAAATGGGAAGATAATTTGAGTAAGAATAGATCCAGGTATATGTGTAACTGAATCACTTTGCTATACACCTGAAAGTCACATAACATTGTTAATCAACTATACTCTAACAAAAAACAAAAAGTTAAAGAAAAGAAAGGTATAGTGCTGCAGTGACTTGATGAATAGGGGAGTCAGGATTTGAATCCAGCTCCCAGATCTGGACCCTGAGCTATTTTGGAGACCTTGTTCTTTGCCCTCCCGTGACAAGGAGAATGAAGGAGAAGAGCTGGGCGGGCAGGAGAAGAGAGAGCTTCTCTCAGCAGGCAGGCGAGTCCTCCTGGTACCTGGCCAGCACCTAGGTGATCCTTGCATGTGAGACAGCATTTCTTCTTAGCTTGAACTGGCATTTAATTTGTCATATTTCCCAGAGTAACTTAAATGCCAACCAATGGGATTTCTGGCAACACCACCACTCTGGTATGTCTTGGTTAATTAATTTTATATGTTTCTTTACAAAGCCTTCCTTATGAAAAGCTCTAAGTTCTCTAACCCCATTTCTTTCAAATGGCATCTAAGCATTTACTTTGAGGATTCATAGATATGATTTAAGGGGTCTGTAAATCTTCTGAAAAAAAAAAAAAGAAATTCAGCTCTCAGTCCATACCATTCTTTAAGTTATCAAAGATGTCCACGATTGAAAAAGGCTAAAATCTGCCATAAAGGGAAAAGAGAAAGATGCACTTTTTAGGAAAAAAAGATCGCTGTACCCAGGAAAACTGGTATGATGGCCAGGCAGTATAATAAACACCAACTTAATAGAGATAGACAATGGATATGAAAGAGAATACAATGCTCAAAAAGCCAAGGAGAAACAAGGCTGAAGATACATTTCCCTTATTGTCTCTTCCTTCATTCGTTTTTTTAAATCCAATGACAGCAGCTACTAACTCATGCATGCTAAGAGAATCAAATGGAATCATGATTTTATCTCCCATTTCAATACTTGAGGAACATATATCTTACTACAGTCTTATTCAATTGAAATGATGGAACTGAGAAACATCTTATACCAAACAGCAAGAAATATTCACAGGAACCTGATTTACCAGTTATAACTTTAGACTAAATTGATATTAAAAATTTCATATGAGAATACAAATCACAAATTTTAAAAATGCCTGTTGAATTCTTTGACATAAATCACAGCTATATCCTCTTTGACCAACCTCCTAGAGCAATGGAAATAAACAGAAATAAACAAGTGGGACTTAATTAAACTTAAAAGCTTTTGCATAGCATAAGAAACTATAAACAAGATGAAAAATCAACCCTCAGAATGAGAGAAAACAATTGCAAATGAAACAACTGACAAAGGATTAATCTCCAAAATATACAAGCAGCTCATGCAGCTCAATACCAGAAAAACAAACAATGCAATAAAAAAGTAGGCAGAAGACCTAAACAGACATTTCTCCGAAGAAGGCATATGGGATGGCCAGAAAACACATGAAAAGATGCCCAACATTGCTCATTATTAGAGAAATGCAAATCAAAACTACAAGGAGATATCACCTCACACTAGTCAGAATGGCCATCATCAAAAAATCTACAAACATAAACGTTGGAGAGGGTGTCGAGAAAAAGGAACCCTCTTGCACTGTTGGTGGGAATGTAAACTGATATAGCCACTACGGAGAACAGTATGGAGACAGACTCCTTAAAAAACTAGGAATAAGACTATATGACCCAGCAATCCCACAACTGTTCTTAAACCCTGAGAAAGCCATAACTGAAAAACACATGTACCCCAATGTTCATTGCAGCAATATTTACAATAGCTAGGACATGGGAGAAACAGAGATGGATGAATAAAGAAGATGGAAGTTTGGTACATATATACTATGGAATATTACTTAGCCATAAAAAGGGATGCACTTGAGTCAGTTCTAGTGAGGTGGATGAACCTAGAGCCTGTTATGCAAAGTGAAGTTAAGAGAGAAACAAGTAACATATTGACACATACATACGGAAGCTAGAAAAATGGTACTGATGAACCTATCTACAGGGCAGGAATAGAGATGCAGACATAGAGAACAGACTTTGGACACTGCAGGGGAAGGAGAGGGTAGGAAAAACTAAGAGTAGCACTGGAACATTTACATCATCATATGTAAAACAGATAGCTAATGGGAAGTTGCTGGGTAAAACAGGGAGCTCAACGAGGTACTCTGTGGCAAGTTCTGAAGGGGGGTGGGGGGAGGTTTGAGAGGGAGAGGATATATGTATATTTATGGCTGATTCACACTGTTGTTTGGCGGAAGCCAACACAATATTGTAAAGCAATTGTCCTCCAATTAAAAATAAATTTTCTAAAAAAGTTTAAAAAAAAGCCTGTTGCGTGGACAAATTGAGCCACTGGGTTGCTGGCCTGAAGAATTTGACTGTTAAATAATACAGTTCACCTGGTTTTTTTGTAGTGTACATTTTTCAGGGGCTCTGATGATCAGTATTGGCCTCCAAGAAGAGCAATGTGTTATAACCATGACTTGGTGGCAAGTATTCTAGGTAAGAATATTTTGGTATATTTTAAAAGAAGCTCTCACTGGTGTTGACTGACTTAAAGATATTTAAAAATATGACACCTTATAAACCTCTTCCACATCTAGAGGCAGAATATAATGATTTGTATATTTTATTTTGACTTTACATGCGGTGTTAAAAACCCAAAGTACATATTATTTACACATCCACAATACAAGTTTACAAGATAGCTATACATGTTAAAGTACTCTATAAAACAGTATAGAGCCACTTCACTTTAGGGTTACTTTTTATGCCGTACCATTAAAAAAGATACAATCTGTGTTTACCTTTGCACAAATGAATAAAGCATTTAAAAATTAAATTAACAGGATAGAGACTAGATTTTATGTTAGAAATCTCAACATAAATACTGATAGAACTCACATTACAAACTACAAGGCAGCACAATGTTACAAAATGTTATCCGGGTTCACATACAGTTACTGTTCCATTTTCTGCACGCCGGGATTAATATTGGCAGGGTGAATTCAAACAGGTTTGAAGGCGGAGAACTGAGTAGTGTTTATCGTTGGTTGGTTTAATTTATTATCAATCGGTAATATTTTAGTTTCAAAGCTGACGTGTTGCAAAAACAGAAGTTTTAGATTTTGAGCTTCCAGAGACCTCAGGGAATCATGTTCTTTATAAAACAATATTCTCAAAGAAAAAGAATAACTGCATCCGTATTCTACATTCTGTATAAAAATGCTCTGGTCTTTTGCAACCCATTCTCCCCCAAGTAATAGATATTATCACAGGAAATCAGTTGAACTTATTTGTCTGACTAAGTCAGGAGCATTCCTCTGCCTTGATACTTTCTAGATGAGGTTCAATAAACCGTGGTGTGCAGCATATTAACTGAAACAGTCGTCAGGGTTGCACATCATCAACTGTAAGTGGCTTCTGCAAAACTATGAATAAATGACTCTATATGGTTTCTGCAGGTGTCACATTACCCGGGAAACCTCATTTGACTTCACATTATCACTGATTCATCCTTAGTGAAAGCAGGAGTGGAATGTTTATCATGGCAAAGGATGTAATGCGGCTATCTGGATGGATTGTTTTACAGTTAATTGTTCTAGGTTGTTGTTACGATTTTTTTGAAAAGTCTTTTCAGGTGCTGGTTGAAAAACATGTACAACTGGCACTCAGTAAATGATGTGCTATACTGAAAACACTTGACATATTTGAGTACTTCTATCATTTTCATGAATAAGGCACAAAATGCACAGATTCAGGTAAACTCACATGTAATATTTACAGTATACTGTCGTTACCTGCATGATTTAGGAGAAAATTCTCACATCACACAACATAGACAACATGATTACACCACTGTTAGGTTTTCATAGACTGTTTCTGTTAAGCCAATTATGACCCTCTCACATTCCCTTCTTTTGTCTTCTGTTTTGTGTGTGTGTGGTTCTTTTTTTTCCCCCCATCTTGGGGTTAGAGGGGAATTAAAACAAGAGGAATTTTACCACAGGGGAGAAACCAAACACAATAAAAATAAAACCTTGTTAGTGTGTCCAAGGTTAATAAAGTCATTGGGGCTTGGATTCACAGTGGACTGGTGAATTTTACTACTGAAACTGGTGGATAAATCAAGGATACCGCTTAACATCTCTATCTCCTTAAGCTGGCAAGACTGTAATAGAAGTTTCAGTGAATAGCAGCACAGAATTACTTAGTACTCTTACATTCTGGCATTGGGTAACATGGAAGTCGAGTTAATCATTTTGACTGTCAAAATCAGCCTTGGTTTTCCTTCTCAAAGCTGAACCCAATGGACTGCTGTGGGAAGAAATTATTGTCTCTAGTTCAGTCATGCGCGATGTAAACAACTCCATAGCACAAAAAGATGCAATGGGCACCTAAACAAATAAATGCTCGTGGGGACAGAACACACACACACTCACACACACTCACACACACACGCACACGCAACACAGTTCTTGGTGGCATGGAAAAAAATGCCACACATGAAAAAGATGCTACAGTTTGGGTCAAAGACTGAAGTTTTAGCAAATTGTTTGGTAATCTACAAGTTCGTTTCTTTGAGACATTACCATTTTTTTTTTTTTTTGACATTTGTGCAAGAGGCAAGGTGAATGCATACATATTAAAATGTTCACATTTAATGGGAAGACCACACAAAATGGCAGTCTAAGTTGAACCCATTTTCAAGTATTTGCTCACAGACAGATTCTTCTGAGCACTGTATCAGCTCTTTATACGGGTTACAGGTAGCCCCTCAGAGCCACACGTCTCTTTAGCTTCAAACAAAAGAAACGGAATGACCAGCACCTTCCTTTGTTTTCAGGCAAGTACACAGAAGCCTTGCTGAAGTAGCTACATATGGCAAGTTCTGATGTTGCCAAAGTCAGGAAGAGTTTCTTTGGCCACTTGGTTCTCTTGAAATACAAGCGAGTCTCTTAAGGTACCCTTACCATATCATCCTCTCAACAACATAGACAGGATAAAGCCACACGAGGAAGGGCAGACTTGAGGCCTAGTACGTGTATTTGTTCAGTGGTCTGACAGAGGTGGTTTGAGGAACAAACGAAGGCTTTGGCGGCACGTCAGGTTTTAAGGACGGTGTCCTCTTTAGTCCCGTCCGGGGGAGGGTGCCGTTACTGGTGTAGCTGCTCTGTCTGGAGAGGGAAGGCTGTAGGTGAACACTCACTGGTGCTCCCTGAATATAGTCCACCTTTGCCCCTGCAGGGGTGGGCATGTACCCTCCACGGTTCATACTAGGCTGTCTAGATAACAAAACACCATTTGGTGAACTTAAGTTTTTAGGCATAGCCGATATAGAGTGCCTCTGGGAGGAATTTTTATGATAACCCCTCTGTCTTTCCAAAGAAGTCATCGGGACTCCAGGAGTGGTGGGGACATCCACTCTCTTGGTTGGGCTATTTCTGGGAAGAGTTGAGGGAGGAGAATAGAGAGATGCTTCTCGGTTAGGGACCTTGGGTGGGACCTCAGACATAGGTCCCACGGGATCCAGCATTAGGGTCTGGTGGGCCATCTGGATGTCTCCCATGATGGCTTTGGGGTTACTATTTGGGTCATTTAGATGCTTCAGGAGATCATTGAGGGTATTTCTGGAATCCACAGAACGCCGGTGATCTCTTTTACTGGATGACTTTGTAAGAGGGTGGTCAATGTTTTGAAGCTTCTTTTCAGCTTTGTGAGCATTGGAGTTTGAGAAAGAAGTGTTGTAGTCATGGGTAGCATTAGGAAGAACAATGGCACTGGGGATATGCCCGTGACTTAGTGGGGAATGTGGTGGAGGACTAGAAGGAAAAAACTGAGGGGTTTCTTTCCTCGAAGCTCCATGGCCATGGGCCTTTTCTGAGTGGCTCTTCATGGCCTGCAGCGTCTTCTGGTGAAGCACGGGTGTAGACTCAGGTGTGGGGAGAGCAGCCAGCTCTGGAGGTTGGCCTCGATGGTCCATGACCATGGATTTGGTATCTCCATTGGGTGGCAGCTCTTTCCGACTGGTCAGCAGGTTACTATATAATTTGGGAGAATCGATATTCTGTTGATATTCCTTGACTGGGCTGTCAAAGAGACCATTCAGCTTGGCAAAACTTCCACTGGAGTCTGTGCATGACTGGGCAGATTCTGCATCTTTATGGATCTTTCTGTTTTTCCGAACAAACATGTCACGGTAACAGTAGACTGCCACACCTGCAATGAATGCACCCAAGACAAAAGCTGCAAAGACACAGGTGATGAGGACATTCATGTGGACCATCTGGTTGGACTCTCCAGACTGGACTTCCCATCGTACACCTGCAACAGACACACAGGAAAAGAGTCTGAGTGAGGAGCTTCTTTAAAACAGTATTAGCCAGCAAATGGCTTGCCTTGAATCAACACTACCTTCACATGGTCCATATGCTTATCTTGGAGAGTGAGGTGGACTCCCAAATCACATATTTTTTTCTTTAATCACAATAGGGTCCCCAGAGACACTTACAATTGCTACAAATAAAGGATAACTCTTCCATTGATCTGTATTATGTATTAGTCTTTTCCCTTCCAATCCCTCTTAAATAGTTGTTATATAACATACAAAATTTTAAGTGTTTCTATCTAAAAATTAGGGCTAGAAATGATATATTTTCTAACTGGCCCATTTAAAATTCATAAAATGTTTTTCTTTCTCACGATTTTCTCTTAATTCATAAATCAGGATTAAAGGGCAGCTACTGGGATTAGGGAAATGTATGAATCTGTATATATACACATTTTGCTAAAATAATTATGGTAATACAATTATGCTCTTCTTAATTAGCATGAAACTACATAATTTGTTCACAAACTAAAAGCATCTGCTTAGTCACTGATAGCTACAAATACAACCTTTCCTGTTTGCTTTTTCTTTCATTCCATCTTGGAGTGAAGCACTCTTGAATTGACTGCTATGAAAAAAATCCAGACAGTCTAAGGAAGTATACTATGTATTAGAGTTAAATGATATTATCCAATTGTTTTGAGATATTTTAGGAAATATTTAAATTAGACTGGAAGAAGAAGAGTGAATTAGTTTGTAATTATTTTTTTTTTTAATGCAACCACAGACATCTAGATATGTTAGTTTAAGAGGTATCCAAGTCTGTTACATGCTATAAACACAGCTATCCCAGAATAAAGTAAGTCAGAGTGAATTGAAGATTCTGTTGCTCTAGGTTAGTACTAAGGCCTTCAAACATTAGTTGTTTTTAATCAATGTTGAGGGCACTGGAATTCAGTGGCAATGTGAAAGACAAAGAAAAGTAGAAACTGAATCATGAAAGAAAATAAAAGAGGAAGAATGATTATAAAATTGTTTACAATGAAAACATAAAAATCCAAAATCAACAGACGTAAATCATAAATGACAATGCACTGCCATAAAAACTGATTGGAAACCTGATACCACAGTTTAGTAAGCACTAAAGAATAGATTCCCCCCCCCCCCACCACCAGAGTCTTAGATCTAATAAGGTAATTCAACAGGCAGCTATTTGATAACTGCTTCTATTATGGGCCGAAAATGATAGTTCCGGACAAGGGCTCTGTTATGTTTTATTGCTTGTGGTATTCAAACAACTTGGTGCCTGGCATATATCAATACTTCTCAGATCACATTATAAACGGGAGCTAAACAAAAGACTGGGAAAGGCTCCTAAAAAAAACAGCCAGTATCAGGATATTTGCAATTAATGAGTTTTGTTTTGGGATGTTGCCCGGGTGTCCCTCGGCATTTTCTGATATCCCGCAGGGTCCAGCTTCTTCAGACAGAAGCCAACATGGATTAGGTTGTCTGAGTGGCTGTTTCACCAACCCTTTCAGCTTTCCACCTCTGTCGCTGTTAAGGAATGCACTCCACGTAACCACAGAAAACCGGAGTGACCGTGGCCAGTGGAGACGGTGATAATAGCAGAAGTGGCTCCGTCTGGGTTCACCTCCATCCACTCCTCAGAGATATTAGGAATCAGGTTTCCACTCAGTGAGAGATGAGTTCCCTGGTGAGGCCTTACCCTTTGGGATACCTGATAAAGGATCAGTAAAATCAGAAGTGTTTGGGTCATCTTGAACTACAAATTTCCGGGAGCTGGTCAGTTTAGGTCTCCAGGTATCAATCACTTTAGGTGTAATTTCTGGGATACTTGCCATTGTGGTAACAGAAGATGAAGATACCTCCATGTCTGTGGTGGCAAACAGATTTTTATTAACGTGGGTAGTGTCAGCCCATTGTTTCTGATTGGGCTGTTGTATTTCCAAGTAAAGTTTAAGCAAATTTTATGAGAAAGTCTGTTCGAGGATTTCATCAAAACACATCTAAGGAGATTACACCAAATCCCTTTCTTTCAAGGGAAAAATAAAAACTAAAAATTAATCATAAAGACACATTAAGGAGATTTCAAACTTGAAGACACTCAAAATACTCCTACTGAAACCTCTGGGGTGATTAATGACACTCGTGGAAAAGGTAATATGAATCCCAAAGACTGTGATTTCCTCATCTTTTTGTGGGACGGCATCATTTCTTTTTTGCGCATTTAAAAAAAATAATTTTTATTGATGGTTGGAAGCTATATATCTTTCACTGGGGAACCTAGAGTGTAACTTCATCAGAAAGCACCTGGTTGGTTCTGCATAAACACTCGATTTTGGACTTGACAAATAGGCTGTCCTGCTTTCGCACAGACCTCCCACCCATCTGTGATTACTGACTGCACTGAAGGCTTACTGTCCATGGGGAAGCACTGAAGCTTTTCAGAATGCCCAGGGAGTTGGTTTTTTTTTTTCCAAACAGTAAGAAGCAACTCATGCACAAGAAATGGCATTTATGAGCTGATTAAGGATGTCCTGATACATAGGATCTACCATCCTTTTCTCCCCTCTGAGGAATGAAACTGCTAGTGAATTTTAGAACCAGCGATAGGATCGGGAGTAACTTAACCTCTTAGCGTGTCTATTACTGAGTTCTGCCAAGCAGATTTTCCGTCAAAATGGAAGCATATGATTTTAGGCGAAAACTCCAGAGACCCAAATTCAGACTGGTACAACGGTCACAGATAAAGACTCCAGAACAGATGAAGACAAGGCAGGGCGGGGAGGCACAGGGAACCCAGTGAACATCTTAATACATCAGAAACCAGCTTCATTCGATGGGAACCTTTTTCACACCACTGAGATCACAACATTCAAAGGTTCCAGGGATTACCACAAACCATTCCAAAAAAGATCTCTAAAATTTATAAATACACATTTTGGGGAAATGTGTATTTGTATACTAGGTCTTAGGAAAGGTGAGGAGAGAGGGGGGAAATAATGAAGTTCTGCCATCCATTAAAAATAGATGGCCGCAGGGAACATTCACGATGCACAGGGGTGAGAGAAGAAAGCTCAGGTGGACGGGCGTGCAGCTGAAATGCAGCCTATGTTAATCCATTGGATTTTTCTTAAAGGATGTGCCTTGGTCAATGATGGACTGTTAACATGCTATACAAGGTGAAGTGCTGAGTAAGAAAAAGTCTTGGGGACCATCAGGGGGTTATGAGTCAAAGCACAAAAATGAGGGGCTGCCAAACTGCGCAAAAGGAGGGGAGAAGGGGCTGAAAATGCTTAACTGAAGGAAAGAAAAGGTTTGTTAATTCAAAAAATGAAAAAAAACTAACCAGATGTTGGACCGCCAAATATTTTGTAATCTGGTGTAGTTGAAGTAGGCAAAATTTCTAAAAGAATTAAAGGAACAAGTAATCAGTACGAAGTAACCAAAAGAAAGCAAAAATTTACGAATTCCAGTTAACTCAAAAAGTCAAAAGAAAAGACTATAAATTAAAAAATGAACCTACTGGTTAGACTACCTTTCTCTAGATTTCCTATAGAATTGTAAATGGTGAAGGAAAAAAAAAAAAAGTAAGATTCTTCTCTAACTTATCCCCATGATCAAACAGCTCAGCTTTTGCGAAGTTCAAGTTAAATGCTAGGTGGCATGTGTCCTCAGTCATTATAAAAGGCTGATTGTAAAATAATGTTCACGTGCAAATGTGGTCCAAAAGAAGCGCCAGGAGGGAAAGGAAGATTCGGTCTTACCGTGGCAGTCCCCTAGATGGGCCGTGTTGCCATATTCTGTGTCCTGTTCAAATCCTCCAGCGCTGTGGTTATGGAAAGCAAAGAAGTCTTCAGTTAACAGCCTTCATAGGAACACAAGTGACAACCAGAGCAGAACCAAGAACACAGACAGATTAGTAAGAATGAGCAGAGAGAGAAAAATGGACATTTCAACATAGCTTGCTAAGATGAATAGTTGTATTCAACATTTGGTAACTAGAGCGTTTAAGAGAGCAAAAGAGAATTATTTTCTTTCTCACCATCCATCCCTTTCCCTTAAGTATTAAACTGTCTACAATCTCCTTTCCCTGTCATAGCTCCAGATTTTCTTTGTTTTTCCTTCTCCCATACAACAACAACAAGAACAAAACAGAAAAAAGGAAAGAAAGAAAAGAAAAAAATCAAAGTAGTGTTATTAGAATTTTTCTAAAATTCCTAGTTTTAGAGTCCCTGGAGAAAACAGAAGCACATCTGGAGAAGAACTCTTTTAATGTGACAAAGCGTACTTACAGCATCGCTGGGCTCACTCGACCACAGGCCCCTTGGCTTAACCAGCCACAGTATGGGTCTCGAGATGCAATACAAGACCTGTATGCAACCAGACAGAGGTAACCTGAATTTTCTCATTATCAAAGGTCATGATCCTGAAAAACCCAGGGTAAGGAAAGAAACATCAGCTTACTTTTTACATGATCCATAACGCTCACAGCGACTGAGGGGGATGCGGATAACGCAGCTAGAGAACGCCACATATAAAGCATGATGGTCTTTATCCAACTGTAATGAGATGACCTTTCTGTCCTCTTCATTTTCAGCATTGCACCTATATTGTGGGAGACATTTTCAAGACAGATGTTTAGTAAGTCAAGAGCTATAGGAACTATACGAGGCAAGTGAGGTTTGGTTTTTGCAACTACTGAGAGCTGGGGACGTGTTAAGGAATACTCTCAGTAGCAAACTAGGCAAGTATGCAGTTTAGGATGTAATAATTATGTGATTCATCTTCTACTGTTTTGCATGGTTAGTTAAATTTCAGGCTGGACAAAGGGTTTTTTAAGGATTGGCTTCCTGTTCTGCTGATAGAGGGGAACTGCATTTGTGAAGAGCAAGTTAGGCTATAGGGAAGAAAAAAGATAATGTTCTAATGCATTTTAATCTTCCTGTGCTAGATATTTCTAGATCTCTCCTTAGTCTTCTTTGCTCCATTACTCTCATCTATCTCATTTGTTTTAATGGTTCACGTAATTTTTTATATCAGTGGTTGCAAGAATTATGGGGTATGTGTGTGTGTGTCTATGTGCAACCAGCTGTAGCATAGTTCTGGATGAAGCATCCTGAAATAGATCCGTAAGGTAAGAGGGGTGGGGAAAATATTCTAATTTTCCATACGTGACAAACAAGGGCTGAATTATTTTTAAATGTATCACTGTCCACCCTCCAAACCCTAAGAGACTCAGGAAAACACCAAATCCGGGTTTTTACTTCAGTGAGAAAAACAAACAAACCACAATACTAATAAGCCAAACCACTACTAATGTGAGGCTGCCCTGGTGGCTCAATCAGTAAAGAATCCGCCTGCAATGCAGGAGACCTGGGTTCCATCCCTGGCTTGCAAAGATCCTCTGAGAAGGAAATGGCAACCCACTCCAGTACTCTTGTCTGGGAAATTCCATGGACAGAGGAGCCTGGTGGGCTACAGTCAATAGGGTCACAAGAGTGGGACATGATTTAGCGACTGCTGCTGCTGCTAAGTCGCTTCAGTCATCTCCGACTCTGTGCGACCCCATAGACGGCAGCCCACCAGGCTCCCCAAATCAGGTTAGAGAGGCGGCCAGCGGGAAGGCGGACTACTGAATGGGAGCGGGCCTGCGTGTCTGCCCAGACTTACCTGATCCGAGTCTTTGTGAACCACGGCTCCTCGGCGATGGGCGGGACGGCCGAGTCCATCAGGGGGTGGGATTTGATGAATGACAGGGTTTCATCCGGGAAATCGATGGAGGTTTTATAAGCTTCGGCAAGACCGTGCTTTGCACAACAGCCCGGCCTGAAAGGAAAATAGTGTGTTTTCCCCGCCTCACAATTTGTATCTAGGGAAAAGGTGTCTATTCTGGAAGAAAACGTCAAGAGAGGAAGGAGAGTGAGCCAAACCCGCTGGGTAACGTTATTTCCACGAACTCTGTGGGCTCCCCACATTCAGGCGCCCGGAGCTTCTATCTGCAGGGCCGCGCAGGGACACCTTCCAGTGACCAGAGGGCTTTGTTAAGGACAGAAATCCTTTCCGTCTTTATTGCTTTCCTACCTTGGCTTTGGTACTTTGTCTTCAGGAACCGCTGTCCAGACGGAATCTGGAGTTTTCTGTTCTTTAAACCGTCCTTTGAATACTTTTTCAATGTCATCCATGCTAAACGCACAGACTGCAGAACCAGGAATGCTGGAAAAGAGGAGCCGCATCAGGGCACAGCAGACCTATTCTGGGTTCCCACAAACGGGGCACAGGGTGCCTTCTGAAGCGCCGGGGGTCGGTTCTCACCTGTTGAGCTGTGTGGTAAACACCCCTACCACCGTGGGGATGCCATTGATTTGTATTATGTCTGTAATGGACTGAAGAACATCAAAGTAGAAAAACGAATCTCCAGGGACGGAACAGTTAAGCCGAGCCTTCAGAAACGAAGTCCAGTGTTTCTCCAGGACCCGCTGGGAGCCACCCATGTCGTTTTTACATATGCGGGCCACACGGGAATAGACAGCCTGCCCAAGGGACAAAAGCAAGGCCACAGGATCATGAGCATGGAGGGAGAACGGGAACAAAAAGCTGCCAGATAAGGGAGGGACAAAAAATCATAAAAGATACATGTGGTTCAAAAGACTCCGGCAGCCTTCCCTCTAGGGATCTGTAGAGTAAGAATGTAAACTATATTTACCTGTGAGAAAAACAAAAAACGAGGGCCATATTCCTGTTCTACAAGCTCCCTAAGAAGTGAGCCACTGAACTGCCTGGCTGGATGGCAACCATTCCCATACTTCATTCCCCACTTAGCTTCTCATATTGTTAACAAAACGCACCGTCCTTAAACCTGGCATAGAAGGGGATGCAATACTTTAGAATCTTACCGTCTTGGACTGAAGTACTCGACAATGAACAGGGGCCCTTACTTTCCATCCTGCCTTTGACACTAAGAAAGAACAGCTATCAACAGATTTCTAAAGAGTTAAAGAAGCATCCACAGCTCAAGGGTGCCTGCAGCACATTCTCTGTAGTAACAGGAAAAAATAAATATAACCTTCTCAAGGTCCAAGGCTGCTGTTCCCACTCTGGTCATTGTTCAGTTATCTCCCAGCAACTATTCTCTTGCTAAGCAACACAACTCTCTGCACTTGGCCCTAAATGCACTACGTGTTGGAAAGCATGCAAAAACCCTACCAAGGTGGGCTCAGTTCCATGCAATACGAGTGCACAATCACATACTTGCCTTGCCTAAGTTATTATGTTCTACAGCAATTTCTCTGAAGAAGAAATAGACGTAGTTTCCATATTCTATGGCATGCAGGAAGTGTGGTTCTGAAAGGAAAAGTGAAAACAAACTGGTTCCTAAAGGGTAATTCAATTAGCATCATATCCCGACTGCTCGGCATGACTGACAGACATCACACTGCTACTTTCAAGCCAAGAGCTTTGATATGCCACTGAGTTTCAGGAGTCCCATTAGGTATGTTGAAGCTTTAGGGAACCCAGAGTCTTTAATGTTAGCTAATGGACTAGAAAAAGCCTACAGGGAACTGAACTACCGCAAAGGTCTTTGTTTCAACAGATTTATTCATTAACCTATTTAGCTAGTAAAGGAAACTTCTTATGTTGAAAATTAAAAATCTTGATTTCTAGACTCCAAAAAACAAAATAACTCTGAAGATATGAACTAACTTTCCCAGGGTTAAACTTTCCAGGATATGTAGAAGGAAGTGGGCAAGGAGTAGTGCATGCATTTAGAGACAGGCAAATGGTACACAGAATGGTGATTTTTTTTTTTTTTTTAAGGTCACCTAAGATAGAAATCTACTTTCCAGACATAGTTACTGGTCTCCTCATTTCCCACTAATGCAGCCAATCAAGGCAGCTTGTACTGGGCTCTAAATTAACAATATAAAGTCATGCACTGAACTTTCCAATGCCAGGGCTCCTGTTCCCATGTACCCATCCTGCTATTGTGAGATTGGCGATCTCACAGTACTGCTCTTCAAAGATACCTTTGATCCATTTGGAATCATATTTAATCGTACGAAGAGCAGATCCATCACCCATGCTTCGATAAATAACAGCATCACTGGCCAAGAAGTCAGCTACCGTGGCAGAATACAGCTTCCCATCTGAAACCAAGGTTATAATTTCAATAAAAATAGCCACACTTATCATAAGTGTGTTACCTTATGTGTGTGCTAAGTCACTTCAGTTGTGTCCAACTCTTTGTAATCTTATGAACTGCAGCCTGCCAGGCTTCTCTGTCCATGGGATTCTCTAGGCAAGAATACTGGAATGGGTTGCCATGCTCTTCTCAGGGGATCTTCTCAACCCAGGGACCGAATCCACATCTCCTTTGTCTCTTGCATTGGCAGGCTGGTTCTCTACTACCAGCGCCACCTAGGAAGCCCATGTTATCCCATGTAGTGTGTTATATCCTTTGGAGTGTTTTCACTGACATCATTGCTATATATACAAATAAATCTAAAACCTGATGTTCATAATCAGCTTGTGACAGGTTGACCTGTATTATCTACATTTATCGATGAGAACTTGGAGCACCAAAAGTTAAGCAACTTATTAAAAAAATGCTTCCCTGGTGGCTCAGATGGTTAAAGAATGTGCTTGCAATGCAGGAGATCCAGATTTGATCCCTGAGTTGGGAAGATTCCCCTGGAAAAGGGAATGGCTCCAGTACTTGTCTGGAGAAATCCACCGACAAAGGGGCCTGGTAGGCTACAGTCCATGGGGTAGCAAAGAGTCAGACATGACCGAGTGACTAACACTTTCACTTTCAGCTTATTCAGGGTCACTGACCTAACAATAGCGCCAAGTGTCAGAATACCTATAATATGCTCACTTATAATTCCTCTTTTTTGAAAAATCTGTTCATAGCTTTTAGTCTTTGAAACACCCATATCAACATAGCTATTCTAGTTATGAGCTTTTTTCCTTCCTTTAAATTCCTCTTGCACCTTCAATGTCATTAATCATTTATATTCATTACACTAAAGAATCTTACCAGCAAAAAGGGCAACATTAGTTTGTCTGGCATCAAATGGGCATCTTGCCAGGCCACTAATTTCTTCTCCATCATACTCTAAGGTATTCAACTACAAAAGAAAAATAAATAGCTAGTGTCACATCTGTTCAATGTACATGTTTGAAGGCAATACTGCTTTATTTGTACTGAAATTCTATGGGAAGAATTCTGTCTTTATCCTTTCATAGTGTTAGAGATAAAACAAATGACTGGATTTACAGAAGAAAGGATTCCACACTAACACCATACCAGTAGAGGAAGAAGAATTGATTAAAAACAGGACATTGTATAAAATATACTTACCTTATAGTATCTACACATGGGATTAAATGCATTGGTGCCACAAACAAAAACCATCTCATCATTTCTTGGAACAAATACTTTAATAAAGTTGTGGCATTCATCCTAAAGAAAGTAACAAAGACACTAACATTAGACATTCCATATGCCTACATCGTGGGCTAAAGCCACCATACAGACTCAATCTAGTGAGCTTATATTTGTTTTACTTACTTTGTGCTTCCCTTTCATAGCACAGTTTTCTCGATCCTGTTGTCTTGACCGCCATGTCAGTTTCTGTATCAACCAAGCAAAACCAATATTTTAAATATTGAGGGGAGAGGGACATTACCCAAGTTCTGAGGGAATGCAAATAAATTTGCCAACTACAGATGCTCACCTTGTTTGGTATTACTTCTGTTTTGGGGATTTCATTTAAGTTTACTGTATAAACTTGATCTCTGTTGGAAACAAGGCAGTAAGTCATATCATGTGAATACATAAAAATGTTAAGCTGCTTCTTATTTTATTTTTACAGAGCTGCTTTTATTGTGTTTCAGAGATCATTTGGATTTTCTCTGTCTCCAACAAAGTCAACAAAGAGTACTTTTTCATTAGTGAGATACTTTTATATATCACTGTGGTTAGGGAGCGAAGAAAGTCCTTTTCTTCAGGCATGGGTCAAACCACTACTCAGTATTAGCATAGACATACTTTTAATATTTGCTTGAATAATTCCAAGTTAAAAAAAGACTAAAGAAAAAATTTTTTTTCTCCTGCTGCTTTAGGAATAAAGAGTGGTGTCTGATTTCTCGACGGTAGTAATAAAATAGGACCGCTGAAGGCTTTTGCTGTATTTTGTTCCTGGTACACAGTGCTGACTCTTCTCAAGTGAATATTTTTGGCTACTTGCAATTTTTGATCACAATCACATATTAGTTTTTCATGAACTAGACACATTAATGCAAGTACCACAAGAGAAAAGACTTTTAATCTAATAAACCAACGAGAGGAAAATTACCTGCCAGCAATATAAAGTGTGTCTCGAATTTTCAACATCAGCTGAAAGTCCAGCCTGTGCTGTGATTCATTGCCTGAAGGGCGTCCTCTAAAAACTGGATATTGCCTTGAATCTGCAAGTAAAAACGGGCTAAACCATCAGTCAGGATTACAGAGCTGAAGAATCAATATACAGCATTGATTAGCTGTATATACTAGTTGTAGAAGGGTTTTAACTAAATTCTTTTCTTAAGGTCTTTGAATATGAATGAATAAGAGACGGTGAATATCACCAAATGGTCTTTTTCTTTTTAACTGAAAACATATAATCTATATATGGGTTGCTTTAGAAAAGTGCCTAACTGAACTGTCCCATTTTCTTCAGACACTAGGAAATGATTATGGATAAATGAGGATGTAAAACATTTTAAAGACATAAAATTCTCTTTCTAAAAATGAATATGCTTAGAAAATCAAAACCCAAAAAACCCTTCCTTCTTAGAAACGCGTATTCTTTAGATTACTTACAGTGATAGTCCACAGTATTAAGGGGTTCATCATCTTCAGGAAAGCTGACTGCCCTCAACTGGGAAATCAGGAGCAGCAGCGTGTAGGCACAAGGCAGGAAGAACCTCATGGTTGGGCCAGGTGAAGGCAGAGCAGCCCCTCAGAAATCCCACTCAGCTACCTGGAAAACAGAAATCGTTTGGAAAGATCTCTGCTGTGATGAACGAGTTTTGTCATTTGTAATCAGTTCGGTTTTCATCATGAGCTCTCTCCAACGTCCCCCTCCCAACAGAAAGGTGGTGATGGTGGAGGAGATACCTCTGAAAACATAGGCCAAAGGCGGCACTCTGCCAAGCCTGATGAAAGCATCTGGTGAGCATATTGAAGTCTTAGGCCCATTTGCAAGAGTTTCTGAGGTAACTACGTATGTCATCACAGCAAAATCACCAGAACCACAGACAGAAATGCTGGCTGCTGACTTGGCAAGAAGATGGGCAAAGTTGGGATTAGAATTCTAATTAAATGCCAATCTGCTTCCCTTCCCCCACCCCTGAAATAAATCCAGTACAGCTTGTCTCTGCCCTCCCCACCCCCCAAAAATGCCCAAGCTGCCTCGAGAGTATCCAAGGAGCTGATGTGCCTGTAGCCCCTCTCAGCCCCATAAGGCACTGCCAAATTCCCAGCATTATTCAAGCTACCCCCTAAATTCTTAAGTAGAACAGTTCCCTAAGCTTAGAAAGAACAGCATGAAAGCAATGACATGAATGACCTTGAATCAGGGTGAAAGAGAATGAAAAGAAATGAAATGATTTCACGATCAATCAATCAGGCAAAGCAGGGCAGGGATGACCAGCACAGCTGACACCAGGCCACTGGGGAAGTCTATATTTTTACATGAAAGCATTTGGACACAAACCAATACCCTAAGTATGCCTGTCTTCTTAGCTTTATTAAGCTTTAGAGCCATATGGGGCCTCAGAGACCATCTAGTCCAACCCCCTCATTTTTCAGATAAGAAAACTAAGGCCTGAAAAATTAAGGGACTCACTGAATTTCATGGAACTATTTAGGGCAAGATCGGAGAGTCCAGACTGACATCACCTGAGTCTCTATCCAGACGTTTTTCATCAAATTAGATAATGAAATGAAATGACTGGGTTTTTCTCCTTAGAGAATAGAGCACTACAAAAATAATCTTTGGGGGGTAATGAATATACTCATTATCTTTACTGAAGTGGTATTTCACAGGTGTAGGCTTATGCTAAATTTTATCAAGTTGTACATTTATATATGTGCAGTGTATTGCATGTCAGTATATGAACAAAGTTTATAGCATTAATTGTACATTATTATCTGCAACTTTTTAATAAAATTTTTAAATATTATTAATTAATTAAGAAAATAAACTAAGGCCCTGCTGGGACAATGGATATTTTTGTGAAATGGTAAAAGCTCTGCTTCACAACAGTATCACCCCCTTCCTTGACCAAAACTGTCACTTACTGCTACTATATTGTTAGTCTCAGTCTTATATATCTAAAAACTTTATCAGGGATCATAAGAATCACTTCAAATTCTTGGGGAGTTCAACCACTCAACTAATACTTACTATGTACCTCTTTCATCATCATCTTTTTTTTTTGCTGTGCCACACAGCATGCGGGATCTTAGTTCCCCAACCAGGCACTGAATCCACACCCCAGCTAGAGTCTTAACAACTGGACTGCCAGGGAAATCCCTTTAGTTTTTTTTGTGTCATCTTCTTAATGTCAAAAACACAAATGCACACACATGCATTCTATGTAACACTTTCAATATTTCTCTTTTTAACTGAAGTAGAAGCCATGTATGTACATGCAACATTTGGAATCCGAGCTTTACAAAAGGAGAGAAAAATACTGCAGGACAATTTTTTTCAATGGACAACTAATCGAGTAGTAAGTTAACACATTTAAAATGTCCTGAAAATAGTCTGGTGGAATGGAACCTGCAGCATCATCATCTTGTACTTGAGTTGAAAGACTGTAGAACTTGGTGGTGATGGGATTTGGGCTTGAATGGAACTCCACCACCTACTGGCTTATCAACCTGGGAAAGGTTCTTCCATCTCTCTTAGCAATAGCTTATTTATAAGATGTGGATAATACTACCTTCTCCATTGGGTGAGAAAGAACTAAGTGGCTGACACCTACAGATTCTGAGCAAAGTAAATCCTCCTCTCTCATATCCTATAGGACACCATGCATATGACTGAGTTGACCTTAAGAACATGGGCAGAGTGGAAAAGAGGCATCCTAAAATATTAAAGCTATTTGGTCCATTGTTTTCCCAAAGGTATAAAATGCTGAAGTTGTTTTTAGAATAAATTTTACAACTTGAGCCTATTTATCAAACATAGAAAAGAAAGTAAAAAGCAATCACTAACAATCCTACCATCCCAACCCAACAACTATGATGATCTGGTTCCAGTTTTCTTGCCACATGCACATATTTTCAATCTTCACAGAAGAGAACCTCTTTCAATCTACTACTTCTCCTTAAGTGGCATTTCCCTGTCTTGCTTTCCCACAGTATTCTGTCAATTTTAAAGACTCTAAAGAAGACATGCTCCAAAATCACTGCAGACAATGATTGTAGCCGTGAAATTAAAACATACTTGTTCCTTGGAAGGAAACCTATGACAAACCTAGGCAGAGTATTAAAAAGCAGAGACATCACTTTGTCACAAAGGTCCATATAGGCAAAGCTATGGTTTTTCCAGTAGTCATTTAAGGATGTGCGAGTTGGACCATAGAGGCTGAGCACCCAAGAATTGATGCTTTCGAACTGTGGTGCCAGGGAAGACTCTTCAGAGTCCCAAGGAGATCAAACCCGTCAATCCTAAAGGAAATCAACCCTGAATATTCATTCTAAGGACTGATGCTAAAGCTGAAGCTCCAATACTTTGGCCACCTGATGAGAAAGCTGATTCATTGGAAAAGACCCTGATGCTGGGAAAGATTGAAGGCAAAAGAAGAGGACAGCAGAGGATGAGATAGATAGTCACTGACTCAATGGACAAGAGTTTGAACAAACTATGGGAGACAGTGAAGGACAGGGAAGCCTGGCATGCTGCAGTCCATGGGGTCACAAAGAGTTGGACACAACTGCGTGACTGAACAACAATAACAATATACATTTATATATACATACACGTGTGTGAGCTCAGTCATGTCTGATTCTTTGTGACCCCTTGGACTGTAGCCAGCCAGGGTCCTCTATCCATGGAATTTTCCAGGCAAGAATACTACAGTGGGTTGCCATTTCTGCCTCTAGGAGATCTTTCCAACCCAGGGATCAAACACACATCTCCTACACCTCCTGCTGCACTGGCAAGCAGATTCTTTACCACTGTGCCACCTGGGACATTGTGTGTGAACATACACAATGGACTATTACTCAGCTATAAAACTGAAGCAATGCCATTTGCAGCAAAATAAATAGACCTAGAGATTACATACTAAGTGAAGTAAGCCATAGAGAAAAACAAATATGATATTGCTTATAATGGAATATATAAAAATGATACAAATGAACTTATTTAGAAAACAAAATAGACCCACAGACAGAGAAAACAAACTTACGGTTACCAAAAGGGAACGGAGGATAGGGATAAGTTAAGAGTTTGGGATTAACATATACACACTAATATATACGAAATAGATAAAATACATAAGCAAATAAGAACTTACTATATAGCACAGGGAATTATACTCAACATTTTGTAATAACCTATAAGGGAAAACAATCTGAAAAGGAATATATATATGTATGTGTGTGTGTATAACTGAATCACTTTCCTGTATATCTGAAACTAACACAACACTATAAATCAACTATACTCCAAAAAAAAAAAAAAAAGAGACTCTGGACATATAAAAATATCAAATGTTGCCCTAGGAATTAAGTTCTGCTAGGACATCAATACCACACTGGATGTTTCTGCTGGGTATCAGATGGAAAAATGAGAAACACTAATCAATCCTAAAGAAACATAGAAACATTTGCCTGAATACAAGATAATTCTGTGAATCTTTGTCCACTGGGACAGGTAACTGAACAGTTCCCATCATGTGGGCAGAACCTCCATGCCCCAGACAGCAAGGAAGGGAGGGGCACTCACCAGGAAGAGTGTCTTTTACAGCCGTGATTCCAGCACTGAGATAAGGATGGAATCACTGCTGACTCACTGGCGAGCACCAAGCTGCTGGCTGAGCCATCATTTCCTATAACTCATTCAACTGACACTGCAGAAAGCAATTTCTCGCTATACCCTGCTCCCCACCAATCTCATCTTCCAAAAATAAAATCCCACTGCTAATTACTTCCTGTCCCTGCATAAAGCTGTATTTAAAAAACTACTTTCAGATTTGCCATAGAAATTATAAATGGAAATATTTAATGTGAAATACATATCAAAGTAAAGATATGTAGGAAGGGAAGAATTTGGAAATACCTGAGAAAAATGGACCAAGAAAGAGATTTGTTTGTATATAAAACATTTAGACTACTTTGTTCTCATCTTATTTAAGGAAATATTTAATCTCAGGGTTCCAGGGCTAGTAAGAGCATCAAACCAAATATGTGGAATGAAGGCAAGACATGAGGCAGGACGAGATGTTGGTAAAGAACATAGACTTTGAGGTTAGAAAGATCTGAGTTTTATTTTCTTTTTTTAGAGTTTATTTACTTGGCTGCGCAGGGTCTTAGTTTCACCATGTGGGATCTTCAGTCTTTGCTGAAGTGTGCAGGATCTTCCAGCTACAGCACATGAACAATTAGTTGTGGCGTGTAGGATTTGGTTCCCTGACCAGGGATCAAACACTGGGCCCCCTGCATTGGAAATGCAGACTCTTAGCCACTGAACCACCAAAGAAGTCCCAGAAAGATCTGAGTTTAAACTTGCTTGTGCCATTTACTTCCTGGCTCTGAGACCTTGTTTAAGGTGTCTTAACCTCTTTAAGCCTCAGTTTCTTCAAGGGTAAACTAGGAATAATTACCTTTACTACCGCACAGCTTCTTCTGAGATAATCTATATAAAACAACTAACACAGAATCTGGCCCATAGTAAATCTTTAGTACATTTTAGTGAATATTATTGTTACATCTTATGGGACAAAAGGAAAAAGTGTTTGCTCTTTCATTTTGTATAACTACCTACAACTGTCTATATACATCATCATCATCATAATAGAGGTATTCTTAGAGGACAAGGCACAGCTTCATAGACACAGATGCCTCCAAGGAGGATGAGGGAACCACATTTCTAATGCATAAGTTTATAGTAAAGAACATACCTATATGAGGTTATTCCTTCAGTGAGAGAGCAGGGGTACTTGAGTAAGTATAGTTTGGATTTTCTTATATGGGCTTCCCCTTACATTCCTGATTTTAAGCCTAAATATAAAGATAAAAGCTCTTTAAAGGAGTTCAGAGTTGCCAAGATAGCCAGGGTTTGAATGATAGGATTTAGGAGAAAAGGGA